TCCTGCTGTTGGAAGCATCTTACTAAATGAAATCAGCCCTGAAGTGCAGATACCTTCCCTCTCAGCCCTTGTGCATTATCACAAAACCAAATCTCTACTTTGTAAAAGCCTTTGTGTGAAGTTCTACAAACATGCACACTGAGGGGCAGAATTCAATGGATGATTCTCTGTATTTTTTGGCTTAGCCTCATCAGGATTTTAACAGGTATCTTGACAGAACACAGTTAGAATCACAGAATGGTTTCAGTTGGAAGGGACCTTAAAGATCATCCAGTCCCAACTCCCTGCTTGGGCAGGGACACCTCCCACTACATCAGGTTGCTCCAAGCCCCATCCAACCTGCCCTTCAACACCTCCAGGGATTGGGCAGCCACAATTTCCCTGGGCAAACTGTTCCAGAGTCTTACCACCCTCACATTAAAGAATTTCTTCCTAATATCTTCAGTTGTATAAAACTAATTTAATTGTTCCAAACTTTAAGCCTATAAGCTCTAGTCAGCAGGACAGAGACAATTCACTGTTTTGTTTCTGTGACACTATGAGCAGGAAAGTACAAAGCTATTTTCCAGGTAATGTCTGGGGAGGCAGTGCTAGACATTGCTGTGTAATCCCACAGCTCAGCTTCCAACAGCACCCCCCAACGGCACAGCGAGAACACAAACAGCTGAGGAGCCAAAAAGATTTTGCATCTACTCATCACATTTACTGCAGCAACTGCACTTGCTGGTTGCTTCCAGCTAAGCTCCAATCCCATCAAGAGCAGACTGAGAACCCCAGGATTCACCTTGTTCAGGACTTCTGTTGGGTTCCTCACAGTGATGTCTGTTGAATGGGGACGTGCCAGGCCTCTCAGGACAGTGTTCAACTCCGTGGTCTTAACAGCAGCTCTGTCTTTGTTTCCATCACACCCTGCCCTTGGCATGTCACTGCTCGTGGTCCTCACATCAGAGCTCCCAGGAGAGAAGAGGGATGGAGTCTGGTATATTCCTTTGTTTGACTCCTGTGGACTCTGTGTGGGTATCCACAAGTCAATGCTGGGAAATTCAACCTCCTCCTTGGTGGTTGTCTCCTCCTCTGAACTGTCTGCTAAGTCCAGCTCAATGTCTTCACTGCTGCTCTCTTCAGAGCTGGAACTCTCCTGCACGTGTTGGCGTTTGGATCCCTTCTTCTGTCAAAAACAAGCACAGATAGGTTTTAGCCAGTGTTCACCTGCCTTGCAAATCTCTCAGATCAGTGAGTGGAGAAGTTTTCTGGGGTATATCCTATCAGTAAGGTGTGCCTTCCAAAAGGATAGTTCTGCTTTGCTTCTGCTCAGATTAACTAAATCCAGCACAACTGACAGTTGCCTTTGGTCACAGGTTTTTATTGGTTTACATTCTCCTATGCAAAGAAAAAACTACAGATAGAGACAAATTTGTGTTAAGAACATGGTGCACGTGGAAGAACAAATTAAGTCCAGTGCCCCACATCAACACATTTGGGTTTCCAGGAATCCTTCCCTGGGACAGGTGCTTTTCCAATGAAAACAAGACAGTCCTTAATATGGTCTTAGCAGCCAGAATTTCTGGAGTGCCTGGTACCAAAACTGGCAATGCACGAGGTACACGTGAAGTGCCTGTAAGGATGGGATGTACTTAAGTTTTCAAGGCAGTGAAGAAATTCTGGATAATACACAAATATATAGGAAATTATCTTCAGACCTTCAGAACAAAGCCTGCTTCAACACCTCAACAAAATAAGACTATGAACATCTGTTCACAACCTTGATTGTGTGAAATCCCTGTCAACTTCTGCATTATTTCACAGGATTTCACTTTTAGTTTAGAGAATTTTAGTTCAAGAGATGGGACTGTGACACAGCAGGGGTTTGTACAATACCTTAGCCCCAATCATCAGCTGCCACTTGCTCAGACACTGGGAGTCAGTCCGATGGGGCAGTTCAGAAGCTATTTTACTCCAGTGACCTACAGAGGATGCAGAGCAGAACACACCTATTAATGCAACAAACTGAGCAACAGGCCTTTTCAGTGCAGAGTATGATACACATATTATACATTTCCTGCTATAAGAGACTCAGTTACTAAATTAATAGATCTCAAAACCTCAATACCCATTTGTGCTCTTCAGTCAGACTTGGCACTATTATGCACTCAACTAAGTTGGAAACTACTAGAAAATGGATCAATAACAAATAGCCCAGTAGAACTACACACTCCCTTGCAGCAGTAACAGAGCACTTAGAAGGAAGCTGAAACTGAATGCTGAAAAGCTTCCATTTGTTAAGGGAAGTTGTCTTACAGAGGGAACTCACCCCTCTGAAGTGTCATAGCTTTGACACCTGGCTAACACAGCTATACAGCTCTTCACTACCTGGCTAACACAGCTATACAGCTCTTCACTACACGATCCCTCAGTAATTTCCAGAAACACACAATATAAGGAAGGTTGAAATCATCAGCACGAAGCAGAGCCTGCTGGTATCAGCTGCAGAGCTTAAAATAAGAGAAAACTTAAATGATACATCCTTCCATAATACTTCTCTAAACTTCTAAAGTTAAGCCACAGAAACACTTACCCAGGCCATGCTTTTGAACCAGATCAATCAGCTGCTCCTCTTCCTCTAAACTCCACTTGCCTTTCTTTACATCACAGTGCAATGCTTTTAAGTACCTTCAAAATGAAAACATGAAAGTTAGAATCCCCCAATCCTGTTTGTACAGTTCTAGCCATCACTGCACAGTTCAAGGCAGAGCAAAACCAGGATTCCTTATCAGATCTTTTTGTAAGGGGTCATACCCCTCCTCCCCTAGCACAGCTACGATCTCTTTGTTCTCAAAAATACCAGGCCACATGATTAAGAATTATAACAAGCAGCTGTAAGACGGGTCACTGAAATTAGGACAAACTACTCTGAGCCTCCTGAAGTTGGATCCAAGGCTGAAAACTGCTCAGCATCTCATTACTGGTGTTCAGCTACAGGAAGTCACTGACTACAGATACCCACACAATGCCCAGATGACAGCCTTCCCTCCCTGTGTGCATTATTTAATGACCCCTTTGCTTTATTTTGAACATCCTTCCCAACTTCTGCTAACCCACAGGCAACTACAACTGAGGGAGTAGCACACACCACAGGCAACAATGCCTTGTTCTCTCTGTTAAACTCAATTTCAAATTCCTGACTGCTGGGACTACAAATGCAGGGTTATGTGGAGACAGTGTTAGAGACCGTATTTAGACCATAGTTTGTTCTACAAAACAGCCCCTTAAGTGACAGTGGGTTAAGGTCCCCTCCAACCCCTATTATACACGTAAAACAAGCTGTATCTTGGCTGTGTGTAATACACTTGGAAGCAGTTGCTCCATGCAGTGTGTACTGACCTGTCCCTGCACTGAGCATCACTCCTCCCGGGCACCTCTGTCCGGATTTTGTACCAGTCGCGCTCTCCGTACTTCCCCACAGCAGCCAGCAGCATCTGTGCTCAGCAAACCAAGCAGGAGGTCAGTCCTCATCAGGAATAATCCTCACAGGCCCGAGGCACAAGCAGTTGTATTAATTCCCACTATGCTGTAAACTTCTGAACGTAATTTTTATGAGCTTCTAAGCCCTCCTGACTTGTAAACGGCCCATCCTGGTACATTTCACATTCCTGTGTGCCCATGACAAAGCCCACAGCACTCAGCCAGGCAACCCCACAGCCAGGCAACCCCACAGCCAGGCAATCCCACAGCCAGGCAACCCCACAGCCAGGCAACCCCACAGCCTTCCCACTTTTTTAGGGCACCCTGCAGCTCTAGGCATCAGAGAACAGCTTACAGCATCTTCCTCTGGTGTCCAGGGTCCTTTCCTCAAACTGGGGTCCACGCTCTTTGTCCATCGGTAAATCAGCTGAGCAGAATCTCTTCCTTCCATGTAATAAGCAACTAAAAATGCAAAGGTGTATTTTAGAGCCTGGTGAAAACAGTGTTTCTTCCTCTACTTTGTGATCGCTGCATTTTCAAAGAGTGGAGCAGCATAAGCAGCACTTTAATCTCAGCCTAAATACTTAGAATGATGGTACACAACAGCAACTGGAAGAGCACAGCACAAAGTGTTTCTCTTTATCATGGCATAATCCACATGAGACACGTGAGGACCTAACAATCCATCTTAAAACAACAGAGAACTAGGCAAGGTTTCAGCTCCAGTACATATCTGACACCAGGCGTTACAGGCTTGGGTTTAGATCCCAGATACTTGGTTACTATTCTCAACTCTACTCCTCACTAGCCATACACTCCCACACTTCTGAGGAACAGATCCAGCAGTAACTGACCCCCTGGGGAAGGCTCCTGGGCACAGCACTGAAAACTGCCAGAACAGCAGGACATGAATCAATACTGGCTTTCTCAGGAAGAACCCTGATGATTTAACTAACAAAACCATAGCCCACACCACCACCAGTACTTTGTTCAAATTTCTCAGCCAGTTTCAACCAAATTTCAGAGATGGATAAACGTTTCAAGAGACACTGAGCTCTTGCTGATATAATGAAGCTCCCAGGTAGGTACAGGACAGGCAGGTGTCACTGCTCTCACCAAGGAAAACTCAACCATCCTCTTTCATTCAGCTTGTCAACAGGAGGTTTCTGTAAACAGGTACAGCTGCAGTTTCAGATGAGCCACAGCATTGCTGTACCCTGTCTAGGTCACAGGATAGAAAGGTGAAAACACAGAACTGTGACCTTCCTGAAGTGAAAACATTCATAGAAAATAAAACTTCATTAGTTCCTTAAACTGGAGCAGATTGGGTGTTCCAGAATGCAGAAGCAAGCCTGGGAGAGTGAAAAAACTCAACCACGATGGGTAAATGGAAGACATTTTCACTTGTAGGTCACTTACTTTTCTTGTATGGGATGTGACTTCCTACTCTCATCTCTTGAACAAGCTCTAAAAGCATCTGGTCTTCATCTTTGGTCCATTCTTTCCTTTTCAGATCCTTGTTGTAGATTTGATACTTCTGCAAGCACTGGAAAGGTGTCCTGTTTGTCTTAAAACAATGAAAACAGAGCTACTCAGGTAACTGGATATTTATGAGAATAAAAAACAAGAAGGTAAGGCTAAAGTACCAAATTCTTTTGGTACTGTTCTTGGATGCTTCTCAGAAAAGCACTAATTAGCAATGGTTTAACATTCATGTTATTTTTTGAAAAATCACCATGATGAACAGTTCAGCCAGAATTAACTGACTTGTCCCCCATTGTTTCTGAGCTCAGAAGACCTTACCCCCAGCTCCTGGGCTATAGCCTGCCAGTCCAGATAACCATGGTCAGCAGCTATCTTCTTGAGCCTCTCTATCTCCTCCTCAGTCCATTCCTTTTTGTTGATGCTTGGATGCTCCCAGTTTTCCCAAAACTTCTTCAGTTCTTCGGAACTGCGTTGTCCATCAAACTGAAGGAAACATCAAAAATCTGTTTTGTCTTGTAGCTGGGACTGAACTCTTGAAAACACAGAGACACTGACACAAGAAATGTTGCGTTCCAGGTATGTCTTATTGATAAGTTTTTCAGAAATAAATCATCCAATTTAACCAATGACATCAAATTATCTGTATTTCTGTGCTTCTCAAGTTGAGAGTATGTAACAGTCAACTTCAAGAAATGCATGATGGCAACAGTGGATGCAAACCAGAGCAGATCAGGTAATTCTCAAGAGAAGGGACACAGATAACCAATAAAACTGGTGATCTCCCAACTTACATGGATGTTGGAAATTTTCTCCCAGTCATGCTCATCAAATCTGTTTCCCAACAAGTCACTTTCTGGGAGTTGGCTAAAGCAGAAGGTACAAAGAGAAAGAAAGGACCACATTAAATGGCTACTTGAACAGTCACCTTCTCTTCCTGATCTTGCTTCATCTTATTCCTCCCAGCTGTTACTGACTTCCACAAGAAGTCAACACTTACTCCTTAAAGCATCAGGATCTTTAGCACAGAAACTTTGACCAAAACAATTTATCTTCTTGAACAAGAACCTCCTACCAGATGATGTTGGTTTAGCAGGAAAAACTATTAATGCAAAACCAAAACACATTGCTCTAGACATGTTAGTAAGGAAAAGCTCAGAAGGACAAAAACTCTCTCTGCTTCTTTGTTGCTAAATCAAGGACTATTTAAAGCAGCACCTTTGTATGGTATAGATACTATATTTGTGTATCAAGACCCAAAATGTGATTCTTAGTAAGGAACTGTGGAAATGAGAGCTCTGCAGAGTTTGAGCAGCACTTATTTCTTTGCAAGCCAACACTAATAAAGATTTCTCCAAATGTCACACCCAGAAGTACTTGAGGAAGGAGGGAACTGTAAGAGGTAAACTCCAAGAACAGTCTTCATTTTCACTAGTAATAGAGAAAGACCACTTCTCACTTAATTGCCTCAATTTCTTGCTCCAATTCTTTGATTTGCTTTTCCAGGATCTGTTTCTCCATTTCAGTCTTGACTTTTTCCAGTTTCTGATTCCAGTAACTCATCCTGTTGAAGACATTTTTATCATTACTTAGTGTGACTAGATGGGAATAAGGGCAATGGCATGAGAAGACAGATGGCAGAGATGGTTTCCCCATCAGCATCATTCTTTCCTTCAAGTTTATTCTCACACTGCACAGAACTGTTGCTGTTCTAGATTTTCCCACATGGCATTTCCCATCGTTCTATTCTTGCCCCTTCAATGAAAAATCACTGACCCAGAAGAGGTCTCAGAGTAATCATTTTGGTATTTACAGTGAGAACCCAAGGGGGCTGCAAAGGCAAGGAAGACTGTAGCAGCTCTAGACACAAAAACCTCTCACTGGACACACCATTATGACTTGCTACATAACAATTTCAGCTTCAAACCCTGTTGACTATTTTCAGTTATACCACTGGGTCAATGGGAGGAAATAGATGGCTCTGAAACACCACAATACAAACCAACACCTCTCCACATATCAGATACCCACAAACAACCACCAAGTGTCCACAACACAACCAGAATGCTGTGACCTTTGGCTTATGGTCAGAGCTTTGTGGTCCACAACCCTTTGGTACCCCCTGCACACACAGATATTACAGATGTCACAAAGAATGAAAGATGCTGCTGCCCACAACACTGTCATCCTCTGCACTGCTGCCCACAGGAGAGGGGACTTGACGGACCAGAGTGGCTCTTCCAGGAGTGTTCCAGCAGTGACAGTCAAAGCGTCTCTGCTGTGTTTTGCCACCAAAAAGCAAACAGCACAAGAACTTGCAGAAGGAAGATGGAATCTCCACATACACCCCCCCCTTCCCTTATCTGTCCTGTCCCCAACAGGAGGCAGCAGTTTCCTACCCCTCACTCACTTGAGCAGCTTGGGCTGCAAGAGGCGCTGCAGGCGGTCGCTCACCACGGCCTTCTGCAGCAACGTCTTCTCTCTGCTTTTCCCTGGACAAGACAAGGTAACGGAGCAGTCAGGCACTGCTGCAAAACCACTGCCCAGAAACACAGATCCACTGCTGAAGTACCCCCAGTTCAATAACAGTCCCCCTTCATTAGCTACACAAGTTTGTATCCACCAAAGTGACTCACGTCCTGTCCGAGCTGGACAAGCTGCTCTCACTGTTAATCCTGAGATCTCAAGAAATCACCCAGATATTTCTAACTACCTGGAGCTGAAAGTGTCCCATGAGTTTCTCCCACCTCAGCACCACCCTTGCACAATCTCATTTGGTTTTGAATTGCTCACAGGAGCTGCTACATGATGCATCAAAACAAACACAAATGAAAGCAGCAAGTCATTAACAGCCCCATGAAATGATTTACAGAGCAGCCCATTCATTTGTAACTACATTTTTTATGGTAGAGGCAAGTATGAAATATCAGAAGTGTTGATGTTTTAACTGCAAATGATGGGGGGAACTAACAATATGAATGCAGACACTGGTTACAGCTCTTACAGAACACTGAAGAGCACAAAGAGTTTCTTACATTTTGTTGAAATCAGTTGTTCAAAGGATTTTATGCCCTGAGCTGCCTTTTCCTTGGCATCTTCATTGGAAGGAGGGCCCTGATGAAGATTAGATACATTGGGAGTCAGATGCACAGAAAAAAATGCTTTTTTTTTCTCATGAACTGCTACAAAAGAGACTGGCAACTCCAACCTGTGCCCACTGTCACATTCAAACTGCCAAGTTACCCTCCTTAGCTCAGATCCAGCAGAAGACAAAACAAAAGCAAAAGGACACTTCAATCAAGCACATTGGTCCATGGTTACACAGACATTTGCCTCAGAAAAGGCAAGTTTCAAAGACAATGAGATTTCAACAAGTACTTGAAACAACAGCACAGAATTGGATTGCGAAGAAACACATCAAAGTGAAGTTGAAAACAAAAAGGTTCAAGTGCTGAAATGCTGCTCCTCAGAGCTCACTTCCAGGTGTCACAGCCAGACAAGGGTTGAACAAACATTGCCAAAAGAGGCTGAGTAAGGAAGTGAGGAAAAAAAAAAAAGGTTTGAAACTGAGGAGTGACCCTCATAGCCCCAAAGCTGAAACCTCAGCAGGGGTTTAGCACAGTTACAGTTTCAATCTCTCCCTGAAACACGTGGCATGATGCAACCAAGCTGTATTTACTTACAATTCCTGTTGTTTTATCCTTAAAGTATGGCTTCATGAAGTGACCCAAAAATCTATTTGCTGGTAGATTTCTACCACCTCCTGCTTTTCCTGCTTTTGGACCACTGAGGTCGCCCATGATTTCCTTCTGCAATACAAGAATTAAACAGTATCAGTGTCTGCTTCATATTCCTAATTTCACAGAGCAGGGATGAACCATCACAAACATCCCAGGCAGGGCTCAAATCTGCAGCACCAGACTGTAAAACAGTGCATGTATTAAAGACAGGATTTGGAACTTCACAAGTCTGTACAGAACACTGCAGACTATTAAAAAAAAATACACTGACTTGCTACAAGATGCTAAAATATAAAATATCCTGGTGGTGGCATTTTTGCTGATAAGCAAGGATGGAAACATCAGTCAAATCAGCCCTTTGAAAGGCCAGTCAGTGACACTGAAGTGCCAGGAAGAAAATGAAGCTGGTTCCTTGCCAAGCAGGCTGAGCTCTGTGCTGGAGCAAGGGCCTGTGACTGCAGCAGCTGATCCCACTGGCACCTGCCATGGAACAGGAACATCCTGGAAAGTTCTACTGGACTTGGTGGGCAGGAGGAGATGGCAAATGGCAACCCAGAAAGCCACAGGAGTGAACATTTTACTCCTGTTTTGCTCACCTGCTGTTCTTTGTTTTGTGCAAGGAGCAGCTCAACTTCCTCCAGCTTTTCCTGGATAACTTCCTGGTACACATAGTTCATCTGCAAACACGTTTCAGGATCCAGAGGCAGATTGCTCTCCATGTCATCATCACTGCTGTCAGCTTCTCCTTCCATTTCCTTGAAGCAAATGAGGCATTGAAGGGGGGAGGGAGAGTGAAGGACACAAACACCTTGCTTTAGAAGCAGGTAACATAACTGGATTTGTAATTTAACACTTCTGTTATCTTACAAAATGGGTTCTCAAAAGACCTGGAGGCACAGAACTGTGTGTTGTGCTGTTCCAGAGGCAGCTCCCAGCCCTGTTCCTTTATTCCACCTGCTGCCTGAACCAAAGTCTGACTCCAACCCTTGCCAATGCCAGGTCTTGTGCCACCAACTGCCAAATTCAAGTCCACTACAAAACAGCAGGACTTTACACTGGGGTAGGAATAATTAAACCTCCAGGTCTACTATTAATCCTTCCCAAGCTCAGGAGTCAAGCCAGATGCCTGCATGCCCCCAGAACAAAGTGAAATTCCCCTTTCTCCTGCTCCCTTCAACAGGCAGGTGGAAAAATGTGCTTAAAGAGCAAGTGGTGTCAGGAGGAGAATCTGAGTCATCATCATCATCATCTTCACCATCATCTGTCAGACAACAAAAATGGTCAGATAAAAAAGGAAAGCTTCCAAAACAATGACTTTTAAATTAAAGCAGCCTGAATGAAGCACCACACAGCACCTCAGACATGACTGTTATTTGGCTACTGACAATATTGTCAAGTAAAAATGATGTTTAGCTATAACCCACATGTGTTTTGTTTGGAGTAGGAAAAAAGGACATCTCCTTATAACTACAGTAACAATCAAGCTGCACGTTGGTCCCACACATCATGGTAAATTAAAGACTCCAGAACATGCAGCCAAGTGTGCATTCCAACTCAATAAAACCCATAAACTTTGCAGGCACCTCACAGCCCTGTCACACTCCTCAGCAAGATTGTTTTCCAGTGTGGCTACAGACTTATGACATACACTGTCCAACCTCGCCTGAGCAAAGCACACGTGGATGAAGCAACAGTGACAGCCCGAGAAGCACAGGAGGCTGGGAAATGGAGTCTCACACGGTGGAGTCTGTGTTGCCCGTTCAGGCGGTGTGGGAAGGGCAGGGATGTCACTACTGGGTGCTGCATGTCACGAGTCGGCTCGGTACCCCCTGCCCTGAGGAGAAGCCCCCACCGGGAGGCGGGAGGGCTCCCAGGGGCTCCCCAGGGCTCCCAGAGGCTCCCCAGGGCTCCCAGAGGCTCCCGAGGGCTCCCAGAGGCTCCCGAGGGCTCCCAGG